TACCTACCTTTGAGTCACTGTGTGAGTAATAAGCTGGGGGTGTGGGTCTAAATTTCCACTTTGTTGAAATTTTTTTTCTTTACCTCGACCACATGGTCCCTTTTTCCCTGTTTTTGGGGTAATGAATTATTGGGGGCCGCCCATTTAACTCTGGGGGGGGGGGGGGGTGGTTTTGAAAAAAAATTTCCTGCAAGCGCTTGTCTGAAAAAAAAAATTGCATGCAGCACAAATGTAATAGAAAGTTTATGGGAAAAAAAAACATCCTGCCCACCAGATTGCTAGAAAAAAATTCTTGATGACCAGAAATCACCCACCCCTCCCCTCAAGAGTTAAATGGTCGGCCCCTTAGTGGCACTTTCTCTCCAGAGTTAATTCTCTGCTCCAGAATTTTTTCCTAACTGGAACTAACATAAGACAATCACTATACTCACAGGCATTAAAACTCTTTTCACTTCTTGAACAGTTTTAGCTATTTGCTCCTCAGTTAGGGAACACAACAACTTTGTACATACAACAGCAGCAACAGAATTGTCCTCAACACCGACTTTTCCTTCGGAACCACTCATATCCTCTGATGAAGCTACAATAAACGTCTTCATTTGAACTCTGCCCCCAGCTTTTGCCAAATTTTCTTTGAGTAGTTTCTCCACATGTGGATTGTAGTCAACTGCTATAAGAGACATACCTTGAGGATAATCATCAAAGTTTTGTCCGGCACCAATGCCAATTTCCAAAACATCACCTTTAAGTTGCTTAAGATGTTCATCAAGGTCGGAGAAGAGCTTTTGCTTCAAAGGTGCAAAGAACAGGCCAGCAGTTTTTGACCATTGATTTTGTCTCTGGGCAAATGACTTTTTGTACCAAGCTGACGACATTGCCTTTATTTTTACAATAATCTTTGTTAAAATCGCTGCAACTGCAGCTATTGTTAACACAGAACAAAGTGCCCAGAGAGCCGCCATAATTAATTTAGGACAAACTGTTAACCTGCGTGTGAACGGAGTGTAGAGACAACGCCTTCAAAAAGCTATTTTAGGTTGAGATGGTCCATTCATTTGACCTTGATTTGCTGAAAACAGATAATCTGGCACTGTCATGTATAGGAAACGAAATGTGCTCGATGATGATGACGATGATGTGCTTCTGTGTGTGAGCCCGCGCTCAGATAACGAGCTGGCGGTTTCGTACCCAGATCTCTTGTCAACGGATCTGAAGTACAAGATTTCCAACGACAACTTCTCGTACTAAATTTAAGGTGGCTGAACACAGTTTTGGCAGTTTGTGAGTATATGTCATTTGCAAAATTTTGGCAAGTGAAAAATATACTGATGAAAGATTTTGATTGACAGGTAAAATTTGACGTTTTCGTAGTTTCCATGGCAACATGAACGATTGCATACAACCGTAAAATTTCACTTTTGCTCAGTTTACATAAAATTCACTGATTAGATTTTCCTATAAATTTGCACACAGCTTACTATAATTAAACATGGCATTTGAAACTTATTTGACCAAATTTTAACAGACGGGTTTCTAGATAATCAATATTAGTATATACACACTCAGTGATCTTGGTAATTCAAGCAATCTGATTGGTTAGCTATCTCGGACTATGACGTTATATTCACCGCGCTAGGCGGTGAATATAAAGCCGAGCAAAATCGCTGTCGTGAACTGGGTGTTTTGCCAAAGTGTCAAAGTAAAACCTGTTTGAAAATACACGAATATCCAAGTGCTGATGACTTTGAAGGCAAGAAAAGAATTCATGGTGTTTAAACAGCGTGATTTATTGTGAAGTGGTTTACTTTAGCTGACTTTTTGTACGCTCGAAGCTATGTTTACCACTACAGAGGAAAACGAGGTCGCTTTGTCACTGTTTTGTGATTTCGGGATTTTCTCGCAAGACCAATTTTGCCTATAAATAGAGGTTAATTTATGGAGAAGAGAGGAAGGCAAATATTTTCGAAAATTGTACGTGCCAGCAAGTTAACAAGGCAAAGAACTTTGGAGATAAACAACGCTTACCTTGATCGCAGCCGCTGTTGACAGCATTTGCAAGAAGCGACGAAGAAAACTTTCTCATTCACGGTGAGTTGACAGAAACAAATAAAGCTCTAGATACTTTTCTTCTCAGAATTGGGTAGTAATTTAAATTTTCGGCGTTTTCTTTTAAACCGTTGATGCTAAAGCTTACAAAACTCGATACAAAAGGATTAAAACTATCATTTGCCATGTTTGAAGATACTGTAAAGATCTAACTTTTGCGCATCCACTGTTTACGGCTTCGTGTTCACGCATGAATTTTCACCCGTCAATCAAACTAATGGTTTTTTAATGGTTTCCTTTCTGATTCTGTTGAGATCACTTCGTGTGAATATACTAAAACAATTATTCACCTCAGGCTCAGTTAATATTGTTGAATAATCCCCTCGACTTCGTCTCGGGGATTATTCAACAATATTAACTTCGCCTTCGGCGAATAATTGTTAAATATAATTGTATCGTAATTATTAAATGTGTCACAAAATTCGTCTGTTCAACTTCCTTTTTAAACAATACCCCCGAAATCTAAGTAGAAAATAGCAACTCAAACTCTTCTTAGAGAAGACTCAAGAAGCTTTAAGAGGCGGGGTGGGGAGGGAGTCCCCAGAGAACCTGCTCGCGTGCTAGGCTATGATCTACCACATCAACCTACCAAAGAGAGAAAAATTTACATCGCGTCGGTGTAAGAACACCTCCATCCACCGCAGAGGTTCGATTAGGCGCTTTGAAAATCCACCTCTATTGATCTGCTGATGTCTTGTGTCATGTTTTTAAGCTGAGCCCCTTGTGGAGGTGTATCCTGAGACCACCAGTGGGTCGAAAGAGGCGAAAAAAGGGAGGGGGTTGGGGGGTTGCCTGCCTTTTCCCTCTCTCCAGTCCACCACTGCTGTTTCGGTCCGTTTGCTTTCTTTTGCCCCCACTACAGAGCCAGGTCCCTGGCTAATGGAGGCGAATTTGTTAGCTTAATTCTGATTATTGTACATAAGTTTGTTTCTACACATGACGAGCTCTATTGTTTTTGTTAGTTGATGTGAACTACACTGTAATGTTACAGTTTTTGTTCTCTTGGATCTGATAAAACAATGTCACCAGTATCTATTTATAGTAATACTGACATTCGAATAACAAAACTTCCGACCCAGTAATTCAAATAAGCGCCCCAGCGCCCCCAGCGCTAATTACGGTATTCTTTGGAAATGCTTGGTTTCACTGCAACCATCTGAATTTCGTCTCGATCCCCCTACATTTTAACGATCGGGACAAAAGTTAAAAACTGGAAACCTTGTTTTTTCAGTACCTTATTTTTGGCTGCCTTTTCTCAATTTAGTTTTATTTTAGACATTTTACGTCATCTTCACTGCATTGTCCTCAGGGGAAACCGAAAGTAATTGTACCTTTTAGAAAATTTTAATAAATATGTTAATTCTTCAGTTATATAAACATTAAGCATGGTAATTTTTTGTGATGATTATGAATGTTAGTTACATATCATATTTGCTCTTCTTTTGCATTTTAATTTCAGAAAATAAGTCTAAGAACAGTACTCAACGCAGACGCCTGGACATAACTGTAAAAAAAACTTGTCGTCTTATCTGATTACTAATAAACAACACCATTTGAAATGAGCTGTGCAAAATCTGAGAAGACACAATAAAAACCGAAAAGGTGTTAATGAGAGTCCTTCAATGATCTCTACTCAGGATCTTACTGGTTAGGTTCGCTTTTAATAAGTATGCATCACTTTTGTCAAAAAATGGATGTTTTCAAACCGGATGATCAGGCATTGACTACCCTTTTTTTAATCATAGCGTGCTTTGTGAAGGAAACTTAATTGCCTACATAAACATTTATGCCGGCGTAGTCATTTAGTGCGCCGTGTATAAGACAATGCTTTTGACGACCGTTGGAGAAAACATAGAGATCTTCGAAGAGAAAAGCATATTTCACGGTACTCATGATGAGTTTACAGGTGATCAATCAGGTACTTCTACCTTTCTATGCCGTGGTTGTACTGTTCGGTATCCCAGGTAACGTTCTATTTATTGCAGTGGTTAGAAGAACACGTGTCATGCACTCAACAACAAACTTTTTGCTTGCCAATATTGCTATTGCTGATGTTATTTCTCTAATCGTCTGCATCCCTGGGGTGATACTGCAATTTATTGACCATCCAAAGGGGGATCTTGGCAGTTTCCTCTGTAAATTTGTTACCATGCACCACGTCGCTGGAGTAACGCTGCTAGTCTCTGGTTTTACACTAACGGTTATATCGGTTGATAGGCATAACGCTCTGCTTCGACCAATGGACGAAAATATACGTCTTCGAAAGAAACATGTTAAATTTGCTATTGGCCTTATTTGGATCTTCTCTACTGCCCTTGTGATACCACTTTTTGTCAAACAGCACTACGTAGAGGAGGTAAATAATTGTCATATGGACTGGAAAGCAACAACGTCTAAGGCTTACTGGGGAATATTGGCGGTTCTGGTAATGCTTTCGTTGCTGGTAATGTCAGTGTGTTATTTTCGCATTGTGAAGAGTATTTTAAGTAAAGAGTTGTTAGCTGAAAACAGGCAAGAAGGGAGTACACCAATGTGGGATGAAGACAACAAGAGTAAACGGAAACTGGTCAGGCTTTTAGTCAGTGTTACTGTGATTTTCATCACGTGCTTTGTTCCATTTACCTGTGTTTCGGCAATGAGTATTTCAACAAGTACACTGTCTTACAAAGTGCCGTATTTTTTAGTGTATTTTAGCTGCTCAGTAAATCCTGTAGTGTATATAATTCAGAGTTCCAATTACCGGACAGGTATAAGGCATCTCTTTGCCAACAGACGCAGAGTTCATGCAATAAAAGAAAGTATCATCTTGTCCGCACATGTACGCACATCTAAGCCTCTTTAATGTGCTGGCCGAAGACAAGGAATAAAACGACGTCTGTTTTACTCGTGAATGCCTTGCCAGTTTTGTCGTGGGAGTGAGGTTGAGCCGATGGTCTCTCAGTTATACAGTGAGCAATAATTGCACCCATTACCACGCGCGTTAGCTGCTGATTCAAATTCATAAGGGAATTTGTTGGAAGAGCAAGTCACACCGCATCAAGGCCATCCTAAGTGGCCTAAAATTTAAAGTTATCGGCCTACATCCTACCGCCGAGTTATCAGTGTAAAAATGTTAGTATAACATCGGTCCAGACTCTAATTATTCAACAACTGAAGTAGCTCAGTACGCTTCGGATGAAATATAAAAATCACGATGTCTTAACCTTAACTTTGTTAGTGTAGCTATACTCTTTAATTGTTTGTTAGTTTTATTTCTACATTCTTTAATTCTTCAAGAATTCCAAAATTGTTGCTCAAACGGTAACAGTGCGACAATTCGAACAATAGCCGTACTAGAGGACGTCCGAGAGACGTCTTTGACGTTTAAGACGTCTTAGACGACTTAGACGTCTAGTATAAATACGGGAAATAAGGCACACGCATTAAACGTCAGACGAATAAGACGTCTGAAGTTAAGTGCGTCCGATCGACACACTTAACAGATGAATTAGTCGTCTCAGACGTTTAAGACGTCTAGTATAAAAACGGAACGCACTTTACGACGCACTTAACAGTCAGACGTTTAATGCGTCTCAGTGGACGTTTAAGACGTCTTCTAGTATAAATACGGCCAATGGCACAACAGTCGGCACAACAATGTTGCAACTCTGTCTTCCGCAGAAAATTGATGGTTCGAATCGTCCCGTATATGTAACATCGCCCTTATTAAGTCCTAAAGGGGTGTCAGTAAAACGCGGGGTCAGGGCCGGGCCCGGAGCAGGGGTTGGGATCGGGGTCTATCCTGTTTTAAAGAATGCTATTTTTGGGGTTAGGGTTAGTGTCAACCCTTACCCTTACCCTAACCCCCGCCTAAAACAGCATTCTTTAAAAAAGATAGAGCCCGACCCTGCGTTTTACTGACACCCGTCCTGAAGCGGGTACAAAACCTTCGATTGACAGCATTTCCTTATTTCACAGTGCAACAGTGGAAGGGGTGAGATAAAGTCCAGACGTCATCTTCTTATTATTTTGACTACAATAAATGAGTTATAGAGAATACTGTACAAATGATCTGAGTCAGTGTTTGCACCTCCGGGACATTGTCCGCGTATAATAATAATCACTCTAAGTAAGAGATGTTTAATTTGGATGATTTCTATGTCTGTAACGTCTTTATTTTTTGCAACTAAAAAGGTGTATTTTCCACTTTAATATCTTAACCCGCTTAACACTTGTATCAGTGCTGTATCCCGTTTATACGGACACTTTCTATGTTCCCATCAGTAAGATATCCGTACGTATTATCGAGGTTCCTCTAGCGATTGTGTCACATGATTTACGTCAAGGGATTAGCATAATGTATAGCGCACTGCAGCTATTAGCATTTCTCAGTGTTGAGTCACGCTTCAGATACGACTTCGCGTACCTGAATTTTCAGTTTGAAATTCCTGCTACTTGCGATGTAAAAAGGGTCGAAAAAATTCGAGAATGGTAGGTATTTTAGTCACAGGTTATTCCTGTCATCCTTTTCTAAGCAATATTTCTAAGACATTTTTTCCTGTGCTCGTTATCCTAGCCAATATCCCTGAAAATAAATACACGTACGAAGTTTAAAATAGAAAGCTCCAGTTTTTCAAGTCACAATCCGGTAGTTGATTAACTAATCCGTTGCGAAAATTATGAAGTTTGCCATTAACATATTGACGATACGAAAAACTAAATTGAGCAAGGTAATGACTCATGTTGAGCTACTACCTTTTGCTTATTCAGGAGACTTATTACAATATAGAAACACTGATAAAAATTATGCATCTATTCTCAGTTGTTCTTTTGTTCATCCATTGCATGATCAAGGAGATAACACTCTCTGAGATCTGCACAATTCTTCAGATTATACGAAAGCCAAATCCAATAATTGCTTTATAATTCATGTAAAATAATTCATGCTATAAAAACTTACTTTTTAACTCGATGGATACGATGTTAAGTTCCCATTTGCTGATTTGCGTGATTTGAATGTTTGATTAAGCAGATCTTCTTTAATTAATAGTATAGCTATCACCTGCAGAGTTGTGTTGTTGTTGTTCTTGCTAAGTTGTTTGGCAGTAGTTTGGCCATTTAAACCCTATTTTTTTTTCGTGCAACGAGTGACAATTTCCGCCATTTTCTCTAGCTCTACAAAAAGTAAACGCAGCCTCGGTGTCAGGGTTTCTCCTTAACCCTCTTTTTTGGCGATATTGACGCCAGTCTGATGTATGGGATCGACGCAAAGCCGTCATTAATAGCACCGGCCTTCGATATCTTAAAATTCTAACATGACTGTGAGCCTTTGGGGAGAAAATTGCAATTTTTTTTCACGACTCCATTGTCTCGTAATTCCCGGAAGAGACTCGGGCAGAAAGAAAAACAAACCAAATGTAGAAATGTTTTCATACTTTGGATAAAAATCCTAGGTGTATAGCAGTGGCCCTTATAAGAAGACCATCTTTGCCAGCCGAAATATTGGCGTGTTTAAATGTTTCCTTTAGCTTGCGTGGCCAGCTAGTTGCGATATAACGCGCGAGGGGAACACGCCCGAAGGGGAGAGGAGGCCTCCTCTCCATTTTTCCCCCAGCAGGTGCGCGCGTGTCCTCGACATTTCTCCCTTCGCCCTAAGGAAATCACAACCGGCGACGCCTAGCTGCTACACAGGCTAAGTTTCCTTTCGCCGGCCTTGTAATTACAATAGTTTAGTGTCGATTTGTAAATATAATGCCTGCTAATTTTCTGGCTTCCAGTCTTGAAGTATCAAGAAATTTGTCAGCCAATGATTTATGTTTAGTTACTAATTTAAAATTTCTGTTTTATATCTTAATGTTTTTAGGTGTATTTTACTAAGTTGAGGATCCATTGAGAAGTATAAGAGCTAATCGTTTAACTTGGAAACATGTCTTGACGAACTCGCCAAGAGTACAATGTTCATAGTTATAGTCTTTGCCATCGTTGTATTGTACATCCTATTAAAAGCAGCCACTCGCTGGTCAGAATCACAGAACCTGCCTCCAGGAGAATACTGGTTTCCATTTCGAGCAATCTTTAATCGATCTGGGATCACTGCACCATGCGAAAGGTTGATGGAAATGGCTAAGGTTTACGGCGATGTTTTTACCATAAAACGAGGAAGACAGATAACAGTTTTCATCAACAACATTTCTGTTACAAAGAAAGCACTACAAAATAAGGGAAATGATTTTGCTGGACGGGCTTACTCTCAGGCTTGTGATCTTCTCACGCAAGGGAGGATGGGATTTATAAACAATGACTTTGACTCCACCTTGGAACTTCATAACAAGGTGTTAAAGTTGGCATTGCATATGATCACAGATTCGTGTTTTTCGTTGTCTTTAGAACAGAAAATCAGCAAAGAAGCAGATTTCCTTGTGGATCGATTCAAAGAGGCCATGAACGAACCATTTGATCCAAAATACAAAGTTTATCTCGCTGTCGTAAACGCATTCTCTGCTATTCTATTTGAGAAAAGATACAAAATTAACGATCCCGAATTTTATGAGGTTGTTGAGTTAAATATCCGTCTCAGAAAAATTTCTAACAAAGCAGAAATTTTAGATAGGTTTCCCCTCCTGCGATATTTCCCTATAGACTTGGTTAACGATGTGAGCGAAGTCATTCGCTCCAGCGATCTGCTTTTCAAGAATAAACTTAAGGAACATCGTTCTACGTTTATGAACGATAACATCCGGGATTTTACAGACGCGTTGCTGAAGGCCTTCAGCCTTATGGATAGTGGGATGTCCCGTATGAAAGCAAATCAGGTATTGGACGATGACAATTTGATATTAATGATCATGGATGTATTCTTTGCTGGAGTCGACCCAGTATCAGCAACATTGTCCTGGGTTATTGCACATCTAGCAAGCCATCCTCACGTCCAGGCTAAAGTACACCTTGAACTGGATGCTGTCATGGGCAGTAATCGTCACCCAAGTCTGAGTGACAGATCTAGTTTGCCGTATTTGCAAGCGGTGATGTACGAAACCCTACGACTTGCTTCGCCTGTGCCGCTTAGCTTCCCACACAAAGCAGTCACAGACTCGAGCCTTCAGGGTTTCACGATACCTAAAGGCTGTTCCGTTTTTTTCAACTTCTGGGCTTTGCACCACGATGGACGACAGTGGGAGAATCCTCACCAATTCAGACCTGAGAGATTCATTGATGCTCAAGGGAACCTTCTACCTCTGCCCTCGCTAAGCTTTCTACCGTTCGGTTGTGGATCTCGAGGATGTTTAGGCCAATCTTTGGCTATGATAAAATTTTTTCTATTTTTTTCGCGTCTCGTCAGTGAATTCAAGTTCAGTGTCCCCCCTGGATGTGACCACCCCAGCATGCTTGGTACCACCACCGCCGTACGAGAGCCCAGACCTTTCAGAGTATTTGTCACTTTAAGATAAGTTAATGATAAGCTTCACAGCAACTTGGACTAAAAAAAGTACTTTCTGTAATGTGTCACAACATTCACTCTGAATAAGTGAGTGTTATAATTCCCATTACGTCATAAATCGCACTATATGAAGCTTTTATGTGACGCCTTGCACAACCATTCCAGGTGGAGTGGGTGATGGCGAGTCTGCATCATCATTTCCTAATTTATGCAATAATTATGCGCACGGCGACACATGCAGAAACGAGTTGAAAGAACGTCGCTAACAGACTTACAACTGCTAGTTTTAGCGATACACTAAAAAAGAAAAAAAAACGTTAAGTCGGGTGCAAATCCAAATATCGCACTTTGCATAGTAGAGTAATACTAGTGTTGACAATATTTGTAAGAGTAATACAGCTTATAATAGGATCTCTCTTCACTCTCTTGGCTAAAAACAACACTTCAGAGAAATAAAGGCTGAAATAAAAAAATAGAGAAGCTTAATTCTATACACGATGATGATCTAGATGTATAGAAGCTATACTGTGAGAGTATTTTATTCAGTCGGAAAAAATAAAGAGAGCACATTCTTGCTCAGGTTTTGTATTCGAAAAAGCATTGACAAAGTATGTGAAATGTTGTACAGATGTTTCAAAGAAAGAATATATTTGCAAATTAAATGTTCAAAACACTTTTCCCCACTTTCCATCATCAAATTTGAGATCAAAGGTTAACAAAATGACGACAAAAGAAGTCTTATCTGTTCGGATTTTCCTTTCGCCAAATTATGTCGCACACCGCGACGTGCGTATATTAAGCTCATATTTACGATCCGAATGAGCGGAAACCATGCTATCTGATAAAATCTGTAACCTGCTATTTATGTATCTACCTCTTACCTTCTTGGTTTATCAATACCAAGGCTATGGGAAGATAATTTTGTCCTACGTGCATTGTCAAGTGGCGAAATCCTTGAAAACGTGGTTGCCACTCTAGCGCATCCAAAGTTGTCACAAAATCATGACAATTATTCTAAGGATCGGGGAAATTAAAGCTTATTTCATCACTGCAACAAGTGTACGACACACAAAATATGATTTTAATGAAACCACTGTTATGAATAACACAAAATAGTAGCCAGATTTTCCTTGTGTCTGTGATGATATTTGACGTTCACTAGCAGGTCGTAGGCCTCGCGATAGCATCCGTCCACCTGCATCGCATATTTACCGTGATGTTACCTCAGCTCAAAGTAAGTTCCCGAAAGCCATTAATTGGACCTGTCAAGGTAATGGCTTTTAGAAAATGGAATATTCTTTTATCGCTAATCTTCGCTTCTGTTTGCGCTGGAGACCAAACTTTGACCCCAGTGGAAGTAGAGCAATTACCATTTTCGTAAAACTAGGAAAGTCACAAAGCAGCTGAATAAAGAAGGTTATGTATTCCTGCACGTTTAACCAATTCACGGCTTAATTAAAAATGTAAGGTCAAATTTATTCCCCGGCAATCCACTTGGGGGTCGTTATTTTCCTTAAGGGCAATAAAGTTGCGAAAAAAAGTAATTCAAATAAATGGTTTTCGAATAAATTGAATGAAAAAGTTCCGCTCTTTTAATAATATGCTTGAGATTAACCACCAAATTGTCAACTTTCAGATTTGAGTGGACAAGCTGTCAATCAATCATCGAACTCAATTAAGTTTAGCACAGAAAGGTTTTCTGTTTCATTCATCTAAGCGGATAAGACAAAGGCAGTTTATTCCATGCATGCACTTTGTGTACAAAACAGGTCCGCAATCGCTCCTTTTGTTTTACCACAGTTGTTACGCCGGAAAAATTCTTCTGCAGACGAACAGGTTCAATCATCGCAGGTTTAATTTGAAGAATGAAGAAGTCTCACTACAGTTGCGGAGAATTTTTAAGTATCTACATAGTGTTAGCAATTTTAAGCCTGAGAACAGGTCAGGGCGAGATCCAGGACTGTCCACCTTGTAAGTGTAGCATTCATCCTGCGACTCAACTTGTAGAGGCATTTTGTCGATACAAAAGCGGGCAGAAGTTGTTAAAAATCCCGATGAATTTGCCATCAGGTCTCATAATTTTACAAATGACTTCGCAACAAGTCCATAAGTTAGACACAACTTCCCTGAAAAATTACTCCAATCTACAGAAGTTATATTTGGATGCAAATGATCTCAAAACGATACAGACGGGAGCGTTCTCTAAGCAGCAACTTCTAACTTTGCTTGACCTCAAAGAGAATAAGCTTTACAGCATCAGTGCAGAAACGTTTCGAGGACTTGGGTCTTTAACAAGCCTCCGGTTGGACCACAACAAGCTTCAGAAGATTTATCGAGGAAGTTTCTCCTTCATGCCAATGATAGAGGACATAGACCTTAGTTTCAACGAAATAAGCGACTTAGAGGAAGGTGCTTTTGATAGGTTGGATCACTTGAAAACTCTTTTATTGAACGGAAATAAACTAAAAAGAATACATAGCGGCACTTTGGGGAACCTGATGTCTCTAACGCGACTTGAGCTGGCTTCGAATCAGATCCAAGCAATCGATGAAGGTGTTTTCAGCTGTTCGCCCCTTGTGAAGACACTTGTTCTCAAGGCTAACAAGTTACATGGAATTCCCAAAGAAATTTTTTTGGATCTACAGTTTTTAGATCACCTTGATATGAGCCAAAATCCAGTATATTATATTGAGTCGGATGCTTTAATGGGCCTACGAAGTTTAAAGACGATAAAATTAAACGACTGCAACATTTCCGGGATTCAAAACAACACTTTCTTTCCGCTTGAAAACATCATCACTATTCACCTTGAAAACAACCCACTGAAATGCGACTGTCATTTGAGCTGGATCCTTAGCTGGTTGTCAAGAAAGCCAGAAGTTAAGCTAGAAGGAGCTGTTTGTCGAACCCCACTTAACATTTCAGGTCAAAACTTGTCATCAGCCAACTTGAGGTCATTTGTTTGCACATGCGCAGATTGCAACAAAGAAGCCGCTTGCAGCGTACCACCGGCCAATTGTTCCTGTACCCAAAACCTAACGGGACTATCATGTAATGATATCTGTCAATCACATAACCAACCAGTGACTTGGTGCAGAAAACAAGATGGAAACTGCTCTTGCAAGAGTAGTGCTGTTGCCCAGGAAACGGGCAAGACTTCAAACTGCTCGTTTAACGTAACTTCAGAAAAATGCAGCGAGCATGGTGAAGTAGCGAAAAAAGGAGCTCATTTAGAGTGTGTCTGTCAAACAGGATTCACTGGAAACGGAATCATCTGCGCCGACATCAACGAATGTAATAAAACTCGAAAAGGATGTTTGTTTGAACATGAGGTGTGTATCAATACGTTGGGCTCATATCACTGCGAATGTAGTCGAGGTTTTAGGTACATGGTACCTGGAAGAACAAGTCCCTGTGAAGATATTGATGAGTGCAAGGAAAATAAACCGTGTGATCTTCACGCCAAATGCCATAACAGTAAAGGTGAGTATAGTAATACCAGCGATCAACTGCTGGTAGGCCTGTCGCGATTGTGCTCGCCGGCAACTTTTGCGGTTGGGAGCAACTTTAATTGCGGTTCTAGCAACCACGAGCAAATTTGTCCTTTCTGGGCAATTTTTGAGCAAAATATAGGTTTAGTGCACACATCAAGCACGAAACAGTTAATGATTTCACAGAAAGCTGCAAGTTATGCGAATTTCTTGAGTGTTTATCAACCTATTAAGGAAAAAAAAGAGTAATTCTCATACAACGTCCTAGAATTTACAATTGTTGCCGTATGAATATATAGCTAAGCGGTATAATGTTGGTCAAGGCTCTCATGGCGAGCAAATGGACTACTTGTTTTTTCGCCCATATTTGATTTTTGGCACTGAATATTAGCAACTATTTGCATGGCATTCCAGTAAGCAACTTTCCAGCATTTTACGAACACAATCGATCGGGACAGGCCTATCAACTGGAATTACAAACTCCACTCCCCTCCCATTCCATCCTTTCTCGCCTCCCCCCTCACCGCCACCCCTACCCCCACCCCCCCCCTCCCCCATTCGGGAATTCTATTGTCCGTTACAAACATTTATAGGAGTTTCTAAAGCTTTCCTAGTTTTTTTCGTCACATATTTACACATACACATTTGTGGCCTGATTTTTCGCTAACTGTATCCTCCAAAGGTCTGTGACACAAATCAATAGGAACAAGCAATCACAGAATGTACCCCTGATTTGATCCTTAAGGAATAAGATATAGAATAACTGATGGGCTACCCCAACGGTAAGGAGCTTTAAATCTCAACACGAGGTGAAGATAAAAAATAGAGGAGGGCATGTTGATGAGCATTACATTAAGCTAGTGAGAGAATGAATTAGATAACAAGCGTTAACGCGGATGTTGTCCAACAGTATCATCAATCATTTTTACCAATTAAGGACCATTTCCTTTAAGAGTTTTCAATGGCTTTCCTCGGTTTTTAAGTTGATGAATGCACTTTGCTGGTCTGACTTTTCGATGATAATCCTCCAAAGGTCTGTGCAAAATCTGGGAATTGTATTTGGCCCTTAATTAAAAGGACAGTACGATATCCGTAGTGCCGGACATGGAGCGGAATAATTTTTTAACGTTATCTTCGGGTTAGACATAGCTTAAGCGTGTCGGGAGAGGATTAAGAACACATACAAAATAAATGACTACTCAGTCCGCAAGTGAGTTATTCATGAGTTATTCATATCCAACAAAACTAATTCAGAAAAACAGAAAGTCGACAAAACTCCGAAGTTTCACATTATTAGCTATTATTATTTGTTGCACAGTTTCTTGTAGATTTTGTAAAAGTATTATACAGAGTTAATATTTTGTCTGCAGAAAAAAAGAGTGTCCAGTACCACTCCGGCACATAGTTAAAGATGATTGAGAAAATCATGAAACAATGAAAGATTAATTTTTGTCTTTTATAGCCGCCTGATAAACTTGTTTTAAGAGGAGGCAATCTCTGAGGAAAAGAGGTTCCGTTTGATTGTCCACGAAAGATTCATAAAACAAATGGTTTTCAGGTCACCAATCAAACGCAATTAAAAATCTGGTTGAATTTGTTTTTTAGAGGCAAAGTAAGATTTTTTCTAAACAATAACAACAATGAAAGGAACTCTTTTGCCTCTATCGTGTTGACTTGTGACTTGTCAAATCCCAGAAATTTCATAATCTGCGAAAGAAAACTGGAGAAAGAAATAACAACACTGACAAGAAATAACAAGAAATAATAACGACGCTGAGCCGATATAGTCTGCTTTAACATTCATTTCCTTAAATTGCCTTCAAGGCAAGTTATCTGTCTGCCGTGTTATTTCGTAGTTTATATCAATCAGTTTTCTGTTTATTGAAGGAGTTGACAGCTAGTCGAAGTGACAGCACGTCAAAGATTTTTGAAATGAAGAAATTTAAATTTGCTTGGACAAGGCTCAAAAAGCTGTGTTGAACGTCCCTAACAGTATAGCTTTCAACTTAGCAACGGTAGAAAAAAGGTGTTCTTTTGTGACAATGCAGTTAATTTGACAACCCCTCCTACAGGAAATTTCAAACTGAAAAGAAATATTATTCTCAAACACAGTGCTTTTATTGAATGCTAGCTTGTTCTCTGTTGTTGAATGTTAATTTGCGTTCGAAAATGCCGAATGACATCATTTAACGTAGCCTGCAGTATTTCTTAAAAGCCTCATTGACCTCCGCTTAACTTATATTATTTGGAGGAGAAAAATATTACAAATACATCATCAAAATTTTTTATCAAGCTTTAACAGAGCGGCTGAGAAAGAAAACGGGATGAATTAAAATTGGGTTGATAAAGATTTTTCAAAACATAATCTCATCCTTAATATGCATTACGTAAGTCACGAATCAATTGAAAGCTTTTTTCAAATATTTCCTCGATTACGTCTTACCTATCATGTGAACTAAACATCCTACTAGGTTTCTTTAGATAACATGTCTTTGACGCATTTTGCTGATGTAATACGTGATTGAGAAACTTCAGTTGAGGAAATTTGAAATCACGTATCCTGAATGACATATGAATGCTGCAAGCCGTAATTTTGGTTAATATACTTTGAAACTGAAAATAGTGAAATGCAGTTTTAATGTTTTTAACCTCACAGCATTGGCGGCTGGAAGTATTTCTCCCGCAAAATATAATGATAATCACTCTTTGATTCTCTAAAATGACTCCGGCGACGATAGTTTCGCTACTTAGTGGAAGCTGAGAGCTTCTCATATGGCTGCACAAATTTAAAACGAACGATCCCATGAAACTCTCTACAAAAAGATCTTTGATTCATTGTTACCGTACAGTAAATCCTGCAATCAACGTGCTGGCGTTTAATTGATACTTAGAAGATAAAAGGAAAAAACGGGGGAGCTTACTCTAAAAGGCGGCCATCTTCCGTTATATGATATACCGAGGGGGGATGTCGGGATTTATAGTAGTGTGGGAGCGAGGAATAGGTGATAGGCACCCAACGTCAATTTTCGGAAAATATCTGTTCGGAAGACGATTTGAGATTTAGAATTTTCGGAACATTTGTTGTAAAATCTCTTGCTTGCCTGCCTCTCCTACGATTTTTGAACATCTAAAAATGGTATAATTGCCCATTTTTGATGGATTTACCCTGAAAAGGTCACCTAGAATTTTCGGGAGCCCTTTTTTCGAAAAGGTAAGTTTTGATCCCTATAATTTTTTTGATCACTACACTTTCAGCTGGTAAATCCGAACAGTTGAAAAATTTTTAGTGGATAAAAATATGCCTATATCTACTGTTTAAATACTAAAATACGTCTAACAAAGCTGTATATAAGTGGTTTTTAACTAAATTCTCGTTGGATGCCCCTGATGGGTCAAAGTAAGATCCACCGACCTAACGCCGAGAATTAACTGCTCAAAACGTTGGGTTAAGAATAAAGTGTTGGGTGTTTTCTCGGCTCCTTCTTGAACCAGCTTCCTGATCCTGGGGTAACGTTTCTGGAAAGTGTCGGTAACTTTGGGGGCCCGGGAAGCTGTTTCATGTTTGACGAGTTTGCATTGAAGATAAAAGTTTCAATAATTTTGAAAAAGACACAATGAAACTATCAGTTAAGCAAAACTGACTGGTTTGTGAGCTAGTTATGTGCTACAGTCGGTAAACAGCCTAATTTTTTTTTTTGTATTCTTCAGGGCAAAGCTAATAAAATTAAATTAAAAAAAATAATCCTCCCCGTAACGGAAGAATGGATTAAAGAGTCTACGCACGGAGGAAGACGCTCAATAAATTTTTCTTCAACGAAATGGAACTTTTTAAAAATACTTCCTGTTGATATGAGTCTGAATGGGAGGGGGGTGGGTGGGGGTCCACATTTCGGTTGTCGGCTAACATTTCGTTAATTTGCACTTCTTTCTAAATGCAAATATCGATAATACCGGTTCCTGTCGGTGGTCTGTCACGTTTTTCCTGTCGGTAGTCTATAATTAACGCTGCCGTTAGAATCGAAACAAGAAGCTGTCCTCCTACACTCCGATTCCTGTGTAGTCTGAGGTGTGAAAATGTGTAAAAAAAAATGTTAGAAAAATAAGAGGTTTTCCTCGCTATATCTTTGGCGCTATTTTAAAAGATGTGTGAGAGCTCCTTTTTTAAAATCATTACAGGCTCGTTCACATGCACGTGCCTTGCTGGTTACAGCGGAGACGGAAAAACTTGTCTGCCGTTACCCGCCAAACCGATGGACGTCAAAGTAACGGCGATAAACCCAAACGAAGTGACGGTGACTTGGAATGTGGCTGATGATACCATAATAAGGTATTTTACAGTGGAGTATAAGTGGGTGGACAAAGAATGGCAGTTTGTTAAGATACAACCTAACAGAACGCAGGCACATCTGAAAGATTTGGATTCAGATTCAAGTTACCTAGTGCGCATAGGTAAGTCATGTGACTATGGGAAGCAAACACGTGCAACTTGTTTTGCAACATTGGTGCAATTCAAATTGAATAGCGATGCTGCGCGTTTTACCATGCACCCACGAATCAAACCTGGCTTACAACAAATCAGGTTGTTGTGAATATTGACTTCTGATTGGCTTAAGTTACGCGGGAGTCATGCCATACATGGAAGTTACGTCACTTGCTGTAAAATAGATTTACATTGGGCCGGTAAAACGCGCAACATGTACAAAATTGTCGCAAAAAAATTGAACTACTCTCGGTTTCTTTTTATTCGCTGACTTAAATGTTCGTTCAATCCTGTAACCTGCTGATGGTTATTAGGGAGCTTAAGCGACGACGACGGCGACGGCAACAAGAACGGTAAAAAAGCAATTGGTTTATAGAGCGGTTTTCATTTGAGTGTCGAAAAGTAATTGGTTTTGCACTTTCTACACGATGCGATTGGCTTAAAAGATTCGCGCCACCTTTTCATCCAATCAGAAGTAAAACCAAAGCCAATTGTGACGCGCTCGCATGCATTTTCCCGCGCTTTGCGTCAGCCACATGTAATTACTTCGAGTTTTGATTGGTTCAATGTATTGTCTGTGTCCTATGTGATTGGCCAGAGTAATTACTTTGGTTTTGGTTTTACGACACTCAAACGAAAACCACTCTATTTAGCAAAAGAACAACTTTGCACGTGCATCACGCTTTTTTGTATATTTCTTAGCTGTCGTTGCGAGACTACAACGTGAAAGTGCCTAATTTCACGTTTTGTCAAAAACGTGAACACAAGACAACAACTTCCTTTTTCTTTTCCTGAACTTTGATACCGTCCATTAGAACTCAACTCCAAAAGGATTTTTCAAGATTTGACGAATTAAACGAGATGGAATGAGCGCGATAAAGTTGGAGGCAGCGCGAATCCACTTTTTAAGTGACGTTTTCGTAGCCGTCACCGTCATCCCGATTCAAATTTCCGCTCAATCCCGTAATCCCAATTCAAATTTTCGTCCAATCCCGTAATCCCGATTCAAATTTTCGTCCAATCCCGTGATCCCGATGGATATTTTGGGAATCTCTCATCCCATGCATACTTTTAATCACAAATCTTGAAATTTTAAATCCAGACAAATCCGCCTAAGCTGGAAGGGTTCAACGAGTCTTAAAAATATATGCTACTTAACTTTTGCGTCTTTTCACAGGTGCTTTCTCCATCTACAACACAAGTGTCTACAGCGTAGAGAAATTATTCAAGACTCCCGCCATAGATTTTGGTACAACAGTAAGCTTGACAGACAGTTCACAAAACTCGACTACTATTGTTGTAGCGCTCGTAGTGAGCATTGCTGTGTTGGCAATCATAGCTGGCGTACTTTACTTTATGATGAAGAGAAGAAAGACTCGGAAAGAAAGACATGGTCATCCCCAGTTTCCTGGACTCGAGGATCTGATTGAGATGAGATCACGGACTCACAGTGGGGGGCCTGAGACGAGAGGAAACCGAGATCTAGTGGAAATCGGTACAACGACTCTTTTTATACATTTGAGCTTCGTCTACTCAAATTTCTTACAAGAAAATAATTTCTAAATTTGCTTACGCCTGTCTTAAGCCCCATTTTAGTGATCAGCTTTTTGGTTCCCATAAAATATCGAGTAAAACCAAAAGAAGCGGAAAAAATCCCTGGGGGACTCCCATATGAAAGTGGTGGGGATGCTCGTTGTCTCGCTTAGGGGTGTAAATTTCGGATTTTGGTCTCACTTAGGGTGTTCGGGGCTAAACGTCATTATATTTAGCCGTAAAGGTCTCTTTTAGGGTTGCACGCGAAGAAATATAAAAAATGATATATTTTCCATTCGTTTTATTTACTCGATTCATGTAATGAATTAAAATGGTCTCTTTTATGGGTGAAGGAAAGGTTGGGTCACGCCCAGATTGGTCTCCTTTAGGGGTTTAATTCAAAATTTCTGACGAGCATCCAGGCCCCTTTCATATGGGAGCCCCTCCTCCCCCCGGGGAAAAATAAGTTTATGATATAACAGGGTCTAGAAGGGTCTTCTCGGGATCCAAGATTTTTTACCGAAATTTAGAGCGGGATTCGGGAAAACGCAAAATTTCTAGACGGTATACGGGATTTGACCACTTCTCGGAAAGCGGGATTCGCCAAATCTTTGCACGGGATGCAATACTGGGATATCAGGGTGTGGGATTCTCGTGAGAAGGAGCGTGAATGCGGCGTGATCCGGACCCCACTTCCAGACCATGATAGTAGTTGCCTTGATTTTACCACCCTCAATTTTCATTTTAAAGAATCATCATTAACGTCTCTTTTCCTTGCAGGAAGCGGTTTGCAGTCGTTTACGAGTTGCACTGCTGATATCAAAGATGAATGGGAAATTCCACGTGATGTTCTCATTATTGGTCACAAAATTGGTGAAGGACAGTTTGGTCTGGTATTGGAAGGGACGCTCATGACTGGTAAGTATGGGGAGGGGGTTAGACTCCGAGAAACGCTCTTGTAAAGGAGGGAGGGGTGTGTATGGGTGTATGAGAGAGAGAATGGGTGCTGAGATTGGTGCGTAGCCGCGCCGCCTACAGTTAGATTCAGACAATTGGTTGAAAGTTCTTACTTAGTACACTGGGATCATTTCTTGCGGTCAACGGTAGAAAAAGAGTCTACCTATTTCTCCACCTCTTCATTCACTCATTCAGAGGCGTTAGTCAATTACCTTCTAAATAGACCAGTTTCGATATATTAAAATTGATACTTGGCTCCGAGGCCTAGGAGAATAAAACAAAAGAAATGAATTATTCATTGCTTACCCTCAATATGACTTCTTTTGCTTTTATTCCCCTACGGCTTCGAAGCCAAGTATGAATTTCGATGCATCGAAATTGCTCTACTCATGTGTTTGTTACCACAGCTTTCGTTCATTCATCAGTTTCATTAATTCATTCATCCACCCATTCATTTACAATATCTTTTTAAAGGCTGGTGTACTGTAGTCAGTGATCTTCGGTTTGAAGCAACAAAGCAAAATATTTGAAACAAACGGACGTTTGTTTTTTGTTGCAGAGGAGGGTCCGCTGAAGGTTGCCGTGAAAACGATCAAAGAAAATGCAGATCGTTTCGACATCAAAGATCTTTTGCAGGAGATGGAAATGATGAAAGAGATTGGTCAGCATCCACATATCGTCAGCCTGGTGGGCACGTGCACCACACCAGGACCGCTGTACATCATTACCGAGTACGTATCAGGCGGCAATTTACTTGATTATCTCAGGGCCAGTAGGCCAGACGATGAGACCTACGTCAACGTCACGTCTACGCTCAGTTCCCGTGACCTGCTGAAGATTGCGCTGGACTGTGCACGGGGAATGAGTCACATCGCCAATAAAAAATTCGTCCATCGAGATCTTGCTGCTAGAAACATTCTTCTTACTGAAGAACACCAGGCTAAAGTTGCTGATTTTGGTTTGGCGCGAGATATTTACGGCGATGGACAATACGTGAAAACCGGTGGAGGAAGACTGCCAATCAAATGGATGGCTCCAGAATCTATTCAGGATCAAGTATATACTACCATGTCTGATGTCTGGTCATTCGGGGTTCTCCTATGGGAAATCGTCACCATCGGGGGCTCTCCATATCCATGTGTCCCGGTAAATCTTCTCTTAACGAAGCTCCTGTGCGGATATCGTATGTCTAAACCAGCGCACTGTTCCGAAGAGCTTTATAACTTGATGATGTCGTGCTGGGACATGAATCCCGAGGCTAGGCCGAACTTTTCCGAACTGTGCCACATACTTTCAGAGATGCTGTCGGAATCGGCGAGGTCTTACGTGAACATCACTGTAAGTGACGAAAGATTTCATGGGCATGTGGAGGAAAGCTCTGGTAATGCGCATGAGCAGACCACCTCAGTTTAGTAACATTTTTTTCGCTGTATGCCCTGAGAGCCTCAGCTTCTTTTGGTCAGCGTTTGACTTGATGGGCTCGAGCTCATTTCCGAACAGTGGCTGGTAATCGAGCCTATTGATTTGATTGCCGTCACCTAGCTTGGAGTTAGAGATTCGAAGAGACCGAAGCTTAAAGTAGAAAGTTCTTAAAAAGATGGACAAATAACGGAAATGCTAAAGCCTGGTGCTTAAAGATCAATAAAAGCTTATTTTGCCACCACGCCCGGCTTACCAGCGTATAACACTGTGACGATGGAATATATTACACCTGAAGGCCTATCAAAACATTTTTTTTTTACAAGGAGTTTGGATGATTATTGCTTCTATTAGTAAAATGTTATATAATAGTTGACATGTTTTCATAATATTACTTTTATATTCATTTATCGCCAATATAACTGAACCAACATTTGCATGAAAACGTATTAGCCGAAAAAATAACAGAAAACATGTAGCCAATGCAAAGATGAGTTCGGTGAAAACTACTGAGTTCGAATTAAAACTAGCATAAGTTTTTCCTAAAGCCTATAGGAAAGTTATCAAATGATTTTTTTCCACCAGAACAAAAGGGAAAGAAAGCATCATAAGTTTTTGTTCTTTTTTTGGTTGATATTTTTACAACAGAGGAGTTAAACTTGAAAAATTAGCGACATCTTTTTACATCCTATTTTTCGAAAGACAAATGTATTCTTTTATATTTTAGGCAAGCGTGTTTTTAGGGATTGTAGTTATGCCAAAAATGCATGGTGACACAGCTCTCTTTTTAAAACATATATTTTTTTTTAGTATCATCAATCATTTTTACCAATTAAGGACCATTTCCTTTAAGAGTTTTCAATGGCTTTCCTCGGTTTTTAAGTTGATGAATGCACTTTGCTGGTCTGACTTTTCGATGATAATCCTCCAAAGGTCTGTGCAAAATCTGGGAATTGTATTTGGCCCTTAATTAAAAGGACAGTACGATATCCGTAGTGCCGGACATGGAGCGGAATAATTTTTTAACGTTATCTTCGGGTTAGACATAGCTTAAGCGTGTCGGGAGAGGATTAAGAACACATACAAAATAAATGACTACTCAGTCCGCAAGTGAGTTATTCATGAGTTATTCATATCCAACAAAACTAATTCAGAAAAACAGAAAGTCGACAAAACTCCGAAGTTTCACATTATTAGCTATTATTATTTGTTGCACAGTTTCTTGTAGATTTTGTAAAAGTATTATACAGAGTTAATATTTTGTCTGCAGAAAAAAAGAGTGTCCAGTACCACTCCGGCACATAGTTAAAGATGATTGAGAAAATCATGAAACAATGAAAGATTAATTTTTGTCTTTTATAGCCGCCTGATAAACTTGTTTTAAGAGGAGGCAATCTCTGAGGAAAAGAGGTTCCGTTTGATTGTCCACGAAAGATTCATAAAACAAATGGTTTTCAGGTCACCAATCAAACGCAATTAAAAATCTGGTTGAATTTGTTTTTTAGAGGCAAAGTAAGATTTTTTCTAAACAATAACAACAATGAAAGGAACTCTTTTGCCTCTATCGTGTTGACTTGTGACTTGTCAAATCCCAGAAATTTCATAATCTGCGAAAGAAAACTGGAGAAAGAAATAACAACACTGACAAGAAATAACAAGAAATAATAACGACGCTGAGCCGATATAGTCTGCTTTAACATTCATTTCCTTAAATTGCCTTCAAGGCAAGTTATCTGTCTGCCGTGTTATTTCGTAGTTTATATCAATCAGTTTTCTGTTTATTGAAGGAGTTGACAGCTAGTCGAAGTGACAGCACGTCAAAGATTTTTGAAATGAAGAAATTTAAATTTGCTTGGACAAGGCTCAAAAAGCTGTGTTGAACGTCCCTAACAGTATAGCTTTCAACTTAGCAACGGTAGAAAAAAGGTGTTCTTTTGTGACAATGCAGTTAATTTGACAACCCCTCCTACAGGAAATTTCAAACTGAAAAGAAATATTATTCTCAAACACAGTGCTTTTATTGAATGCTAGCTTGTTCTCTGTTGTTGAATGTTAATTTGCGTTCGAAAATGCCGAATGACATCATTTAACGTAGCCTGCAGTATTTCTTAAAAGCCTCATTGACCTCCGCTTAACTTATATTATTTGGAGGAGAAAAATATTACAAATACATCATCAAAATTTTTTATCAAGCTTTAACAGAGCGGCTGAGAAAGAAAACGGGATGAATTAAAATTGGGTTGATAAAGATTTTTCAAAACATAATCTCATCCTTAATATGCATTACGTAAGTCACGAATCAATTGAAAGCTTTTTTCAAATATTTCCTCGATTACGTCTTACCTATCATGTGAACTAAACATCCTACTAGGTTTCTTTAGATAACATGTCTTTGACGCATTTTGCTGATGTAATACGTGATTGAGAAACTTCAGTTGAGGAAATTTGAAATCACGTATCCTGAATGACATATGAATGCTGCAAGCCGTAATTTTGGTTAATATACTTTGAAACTGAAAATAGTGAAATGCAGTTTTAATGTTTTTAACCTCACAGCATTGGCGGCTGGAAGTATTTCTCCCGCAAAATATAATGATAATCACTCTTTGATTCTCTAAAATGACTCCGGCGACGATAGTTTCGCTACTTAGTGGAAGCTGAGAGCTTCTCATATGGCTGCACAAATTTAAAACGAACGATCCCATGAAACTCTCTACAAAAAGATCTTTGATTCATTGTTACCGTACAGTAAATCCTGCAATCAACGTGCTGGCGTTTAATTGATACTTAGAAGATAAAAGGAAAAAACGGGGGAGCTTACTCTAAAAGGCGGCCATCTTCCGTTATATGATATACCGAGGGGGGATGTCGGGATTTATAGTAGTGTGGGAGCGAGGAATAGGTGATAGGCACCCAACGTCAATTTTCGGAAAATATCTGTTCGGAAGACGATTTGAGATTTAGAATTTTCGGAACATTTGTTGTAAAATCTCTTGCTTGCCTGCCTCTCCTACGATTTTTGAACATCTAAAAATGGTATAATTGCCCATTTTTGATGGATTTACCCTGAAAAGGTCACCTAGAATTTTCGGGAGCCCTTTTTTCGAAAAGGTAAGTTTTGATCCCTATAATTTTTTTGATCACTACACTTTCAGCTGGTAAATCCGAACAGTTGAAAAATTTTTAGTGGATAAAAATATGCCTATATCTACTGTTTAAATACTAAAATACGTCTAACAAAGCTGTATATAAGTGGTTTTTAACTAAATTCTCGTTGGATGCCCCTGATGGGTCAAAGTAAGATCCACCGACCTAACGCCGAGAATTAACTGCTCAAAACGTTGGGTTAAGAATAAAGTGTTGGGTGTTTTCTCGGCTCCTTCTTGAACCAGCTTCCTGATCCTGGGGTAACGTTTCTGGAAAGTGTCGGTAACTTTGGGGGCCCGGGAAGCTGTTTCATGTTTGACGAGTTTGCATTGAAGATAAAAGTTTCAATAATTTTGAAAAAGACACAATGAAACTATCAGTTAAGCAAAACTGACTGGTTTGTGAGCTAGTTATGTGCTACAGTCGGTAAACAGCCTAATTTTTTTTTTTGTATTCTTCAGGGCAAAGCTAATAAAATTAAATTAAAAAAAATAATCCTCCCCGTAACGGAAGAATGGATTAAAGAGTCTACGCACGGAGGAAGACGCTCAATAAATTTTTCTTCAACGAAATGGAACTTTTTAAAAATACTTCCTGTTGATATGAGTCTGAATGGGAGGGGGGTGGGTGGGGGTCCACATTTCGGTTGTCGGCTAACATTTCGTTAATTTGCACTTCTTTCTAAATGCAAATATCGATAATACCGGTTCCTGTCGGTGGTCTGTCACGTTTTTCCTGTCGGTAGTCTATAATTAACGCTGCCGTTAGAATCGAAACAAGAAGCTGTCCTCCTACACTCCGATTCCTGTGTAGTCTGAGGTGTGAAAATGTGTAAAAAAAAATGTTAGAAAAATAAGAGGTTTTCCTCGCTATATCTTTGGCGCTATTTTAAAAGATGTGTGAGAGCTCCTTTTTTAAAATCATTACAGGCTCGTTCACATGCACGTGCCTTGCTGGTTACAGCGGAGACGGAAAAACTTGTCTGCCGTTACCCGCCAAACCGATGGACGTCAAAGTAACGGCGATAAACCCAAACGAAGTGACGGTGACTTGGAATGTGGCTGATGATACCATAATAAGGTATTTTACAGTGGAGTATAAGTGGGTGGACAAAGAATGGCAGTTTGTTAAGATACAACCTAACAGAACGCAGGCACATCTGAAAGATTTGGATTCAGATTCAAGTTACCTAGTGCGCATAGGTAAGTCATGTGACTATGGGAAGCAAACACGTGCAACTTGTTTTGCAACATTGGTGCAATTCAAATTGAATAGCGATGCTGCGCGTTTTACCATGCACCCACGAATCAAACCTGGCTTACAACAAATCAGGTTGTTGTGAATATTGACTTCTGATTGGCTTAAGTTACGCGGGAGTCATGCCATACATGGAAGTTACGTCACTTGCTGTAAAATAGATTTACATTGGGCCGGTAAAACGCGCAACATGTACAAAATTGTCGCAAAAAAATTGAACTACTCTCGGTTTCTTTTTATTCGCTGACTTAAATGTTCGTTCAATCCTGTAACCTGCTGATGGTTATTAGGGAGCTTAAGCGACGACGACGGCGACGGCAACAAGAACGGTAAAAAAGCAATTGGTTTATAGAGCGGTTTTCATTTGAGTGTCGAAAAGTAATTGGTTTTGCACTTTCTACACGATGCGATTGGCTTAAAAGATTCGCGCCACCTTTTCATCCAATCAGAAGTAAAACCAAAGCCAATTGTGACGCGCTCGCATGCATTTTCCCGCGCTTTGCGTCAGCCACATGTAATTACTTCGAGTTTTGATTGGTTCAATGTATTGTCTGTGTCCTATGTGATTGGCCAGAGTAATTACTTTGGTT